CCTTGAGTCGATGTGGTCAGTCCATCAATCTTGAATAGAATACGGCATACGTGCTGAGAAGGAGCTTATAAACCGTTGGCAGGAGAGGTTTTGCAGCAGTCATAGGTCTTTGTAACATTTGTTCAATGTTGAAGTAGGTCGTGCCCAAGAATTAGGCAAGCGAAGAATTCCCAAGTATTAAGATCCCAAGAAGTTGCAGTGTCTGACAGGTTTGTAGATGAATGGTTCAGAGAGCCGTATTCTATTCAAGATTGATGGACTGACCACATCGACTCAAGGTTGAGGGACTGATTACCTCATTCTCCTCCTGTTCTTCAAGATTCTCCTTTGTATGGACTGATAAAAGCCACTGTGTGGCGAAACGTTTCCTCAATAAAGATACCCAAGAGTTGCACATGTGTCTAATTTATCAACATGTCGGTTCTCTGAACCATTCATCTACAATAATGAGATTAGTCACGAGGGAGCCTTCACCAAATTCAACTTTAATAACAAGAACATAAAGTGGGACCAAGTAAACCAAGTCCTAACCGATATAAGCTGGGAAGATAGACTAAGCAACACAGACCCCAACTTATGCCTAGAACAGATTAACTCGGTGGCACTCGATGTATGCTCAAGGCTTATTTCTTTAAGAAAAAGGATGAGTAGATGTAAAATAGAAAGAGACAGGCGCTCCCTTTACAGGCGACGGAAAAGAATAGCAGAGCGGCTAAAAGAGATCAATATATCTGAAATGCGTAGGGAGACACTGGTCAGAGAAATAGCAAACATCGAGCTAAAGCTATAGGAATCTTACAGGAATCAAGAATCGCGGGAAGAACTAAAAGCCATAAATGAAATCGAAAGAAACCCAAAGTATTTCTTTTCTTATGCAAATCAAAGTCGAGAACACGTCCAGTATTGGGCCCCTTTCTTAAACAAGATGGGTCCTACACAGATGACAGCAAGGAAATGAGTGAGCTACTCAAGTCCCAATATGGCTCAGTTTTTAGCAAGCCGCTAACCAGACTGAGAGTCGAAGATCAAAATGATTTTTTTATGAGAGAGCCACAGAATTTCGTTTTTAAAAAAGCCTATCTGATGTTATCCTGACGCCAAATGACTTCGAACAGGCGATAAATGACATTGCCCATGCACTTTTGCCCCGGGCCAGACTCATGGAACTCCGTGTTCATCAAGAACTGCAAGAAGCCCCTATCACGAGCCTTTACCATCCTATGGAGAGGGAGCATGGACACGGGGGTCGTCCCACAGTTACTAAAAACAACAGACATAGACCCACTCCACAAAGGGGGCAGTAAAGCAATAGCAAAGAATTACAGACCGATAGCGCTAACATCCCATATCATAAAATTCTTTGAAAGGGTCCTAAGAAGCAAGATCGCCACCCAACTAGATACCCATCAATTACACAACCCAGGGCAACATGATCCTAGATGCACTAGAAGACAAAAAGAATGCAGATGTAATATGTACAGACTTTGCAAAAGCCTTCGACAAGTGTGACCATGGCGTAATAGCGCACAAAATGCGTGCTGAAGGAATAACAGCAAAAGTTGGTAGATGGATCTATAATTTCCACACAAACAGAACACAAAGAGTAGTAGTCAACAGAGTAAAGTCCGAGGCAGCTACGGTGAAAAGCTCTGTTCCACAAGGCATAGTACTCGCTCCCATCTTGTTTCTCATCCTCATATGTGACATAGACAGGATGTCAGCCACAGCACTGTGTCTTCCTTTGGGAGATGACACCCGAATCTGCTGACAGTGTCTTCCATTGCAGACACTGCAAGGCTCCAGGCGGACTCAACCAAAAACTTTCAGTGGGTGCAGAAAACAATATGAAGTTCAACGATGAGAAATTTCAATTACTCAGATATGGTAAACATGAGGAAATTAAATCTTCATCAGAGTACAAAACAAATTCCTTCCACAAAATAGAGCGAAAAACCAACGTCAAAGACCTGGGAGTGATCATGTCGGAGGATCTCACCTTCAAGAACCATAACATTGCATCAATCGCATCTGCTAGGAAAATGACAGGATGGATAATGAGAACCTTCAAAACTAGGGATGCCAAGCTCATGATAACACTCTTCAGGCCGCTTGTTCTATCTAGACTGGAATATTGCTGCACACTAACAGCACCTTTCAAGGCAGGTGAAATAGCTGACCCAGAAAATGTACAGAAAATGTACAGAGAACCTTCACGGCGCGCATAACGGAGATAAAACACCTCAATTACTGGGAGCGCTTGAGGTTCCTAAACCTGTATTCCCTGGAACGCAGGCGGGAAAGATACATGATTATATACACCTGGAAAATCCTAGGGGGAAACTAGTCCCGAACTTGCACACGAAAATCACTCACAACGAAAGCAAAAGACTTGGCAGACGATGCAACATCCCCCCAATGAAAAGCAGGGGTGTCACTAGCACGTTAAGAGACCATACAATAAGTGTCAGGGACCTGAGACTGTTCAACTGCCTCTCAGCATACATAAGGGGGATTACCAATAGACCCCTGGCAGTCTTCAAGCTGACACTGGACAAGCACCTAAAGTCGGTTCCTGACCAGCCGGGCTGTGGCTCGTACGTTGGTTTGCGTGCAGCCAGCAGCAACAGCCTGGTTGATCAGGCTCTGATCCACCATGAGGCCTGGTCACAGACCGGGCCGCGGGGGCGTTGATCCCCGGAACTCTCTCCAGGTAAACTCCAGGTATATATGCTAAGATATCCATCACCCTCAATGTATATACACTGCTGCTCTTATTGTATACTTATCAACGGAGACATATATTGCAAATTATATAGTACTGGTTGGTTAATGGGATTTAAAGGCTATCTGCTACACGAGGGTTAGTAAGGCTGCATGACACCTGTTCACCACCAGCCAAAAATATTTTAATTCTTGTAACAGACATTAAAGTAATTTCTCAGTGTATATACACTGACAGGTGCATGTCCCTCAGTGTATATACACTGACAGGTGCATGTCTCTCAGTGTATATACACTGACAGGTGAATGTGGAAAACACACAGACCCAAGTCATCTACTGGCCCATGCTAGGTAGGTCCTAGTCACCTACTGGCCCATGTTAGGCAGGTCCTAGTCACCTACTGGCCCATGCTAGGCAGGTCCTAGTCATCTCCTGGCCCATGCTAGGCAGGTCCTAGTCATCTACTGGCCCATGCTAGGTAGGTCCTAGTCACCTACTGGCCCATGTTAGGCAGGTCCTAGTCACCTACTGGCCCATGCTAGGCAGGTCCTAGTCATCTCCTGGCCCATGTTAGGTAGGTCCTAGTCACCTACTGGCCCATGTTAGGCAGGTCCTAGTCACCTACTGGCCCATGCTAGGCAGGTCCTAGTCATCTACTGGCCCATGTTAGGTAGGTCCTAGTCACCTCCTGGCCCATGCTAGGCAGGTCCTAGTCATCTCCTGGCCCATGTTAGGTAGGTCCTAGTCACCTACTGGCCCATGTTAGGCAGGTCCTAGTCACCTACTGGCCCATGCTAGGCAGGTCCTAGTCATCTACTGGCCCATGCTAGGTAGGTCCTAGTCATCTCCTGGCCCATGTTAGGTAGGTCCTAGTCACCTACTGGCCCATGTTAGGCAGGTCCTAGTCACCTACTGGCCCATGCTAGGCAGGTCCTAGTCATCTACTGGCCCATGCTAGGTAGGTCCTAGTCATCTCCTGGCCCATGTTAGGCAGGTCCTAGTCACCTACTGGCCCATGCTAGGCAGGTCCTAGTCATCTACTGGCCCATGCTAGGTAGGTCCTAGTCACCTACTGGCCCATGTTAGGCAGGTCCTAGTCACCTACTGGCCCATGCTAAGGCAGGGCCTAGTCATTACTGGCCCATGCTAGGTAGGTCCTAGTCATCTCCTGCCCATGTTAGGCAGGGGCCTAGTCATACTGGCCCAAAGCTAGGCAGGTCCTAGTCATCTACTGGCCCATGCTAGGTAGGTCCTAGTCACCTACTGGCCCATGTTAGGCAGGTCCTAGTCACCTACTGGCCCATGCTAGGCAGGTCCTAGTCATTTACTGGCCCATGCTAGGTAGGTCCTAGTCATCTCCTGGGGCCCATGTTGGCAGGTCCTAGTACCCACTGGCCCATGCTAGGCAGGTCCTAGTCATCTACTGGCCCATGCTAGGTAGGTCCTAGTCACCTACTGGCCCATGTTAGGAAGGTCCTAGTCACCTACTGGCCCATGCTAGGCAGGTCCTAGTCATCTACTGGCCCATGCTAGGTAGGTCCTAGTCATCTCCTGGCCCATGTTAGGCAGGTCCTAGTCGCCTACTGGCCCATGCTAGGCAGGTCCTAGTCATCTACTGGCCCATGCTAGGTAGGTCCTAGTCATCTCCTGGCCCATGTTAGGCAGGTCCTAGTCACCTACTGGCCCATGCTAGGCAGGTCCTAGTCATCTACTGGCCCATGCTAGGTAGGTCCTAGTCACCTACTGGCCCATGTTAGGCAGGTCCTAGTCACCTACTGGCCCATGCTAGGCAGGTTCTAGTCATCTACTGGCCCATGCTAGGTAGGTCCTAGTCACCTACTGGCCCATGTTAGGCAGGTCCTAGTCACCTACTGGCCCATCCTAGGCAGGTCCTAGTCATCTACTGGCCCATGCTAGGTAGGTCCTAGTCACCTACTGGCCCATGTTAGGCAGGTCCTAGTCACCTACTGACCCATGCTAGGCAGGTCCAAGGTACCTACTGACCCATGCTAGGCAGGTCCTAGTCACCTACTGGCCCATGCTAGGCAGGTCCAAGGTACCTACTGACCCATGCTAGGCAGGTCCTAGTCACCTACTGACCCATGCTAGGCAGGCCCAAGTCACCTACTGGCCCATGCTAGGCAGGTCCAGTAGACCTACACGACTCAACTCTGATGATATCTAGTTCACTGTAGACTTGGTCATGGATATACGCGGTCTAACACGTGGAGTATACTAATATATGGTAGAGTAATAACACATGTTACCGTGTCCACAGGTGGGAAGTATGTACCGCGGGCCGTGTTGGTGGACCTGGAACCTGGAACTATGGACTCGGTCCGTGCTGGACCATTCGGACACCTCTTCAAACCAGATAACTTTGTCTTTGGTTAGTTTATCAGAGATAATGTTGAAATGTTAACTATAACGAATGTTTATGTTAAGTCTAATGTATTTAGATATTAACTTAGAAATTAGTTATGGAATTAAATTTCTTGAACCTTGGTAAAATATACCGACATATTGGTTTAGAGAAAGAGGTGTGCCAAGATTAAGATATATTTATTAAACAACGTTTCGGTCGTGGGATCAAGGTCCCAGGAGCGAAACGTTGTCTGATGTATCCTGGTATTTCCTTGTGTTTATGAAGCAGTAATCACAAATATTATAATTTAGAAAGTAGAGATTAAGCAAATTCTCAATATTTACATCTGTTAATTGATGATTTGATAATTGTTAAGTTTCAAGCCTATCTACTGCACGAGGGTTGTTAAGACTACACTTCACCTGTATAATACCAGTCAAGAACCCTTTAATACCTTAAATAGTGATTAAAGTGTATATACACTGAGTGTATATACACTCTATGTACACTCGATGTATATACACTCAGAGTATATAAACTGAGAATGTATATAGTTTAAACTTTACTAATCACGTTTTTTTAAAAAACACTAAATATTATTTTGTGTTAAATACACATTGAATAAACTTGTGAAAGTCGTAATAAATGACTGTCGATAAAGAGAAGACTGGAGGGGGACTCGAACCGTGGTGGTGTATGGTAGTAGGTGCAGCACTCGGGCGGGACTTCTGGTGGGAACCTGTCACAAGGAGCACTCCTGCGTCATGTCTGCGTCAGAGACCATTCTCTGCGTCATGTCTGAGTCAAAGAACACCATCTGTGACCCAGCTGGTTGTCCCACTGTTCCAGTACAATATACCAGAACAACTTTTCCATTAGAAGCTCCGTAGCTCAGTGGTAGAGCGCTCCTCCTGCTACCAACAAGACTACCGTTCGACTCCTCGTCCATTCCATAACTAACCCACAATACCATAGCTGGAACAACTCATAACTATCCCACAATACCATGGTTGGAACAACTCATAAATAACCCACAATACCATGGCTGGAGCAACTCATAACTAACCCACAATACCATGGCTGGAATAACTCATAACTAACCCACAATATCATGGCTGGAACAACTCATAACTAACCCACAATACCATGGCTGGAACAACTCATAACTAACCCACAATATCATGGCTGGAACAACTCATAACTAACCCACAATACCATGGCTGGAAAACTCATAACTAACCCCCAATACCATGGCTGGAACAACTCCCTAACAAACCACCAAAAACCACGGTTGGAACAACTCATAACTTACCCACAATACCATGGCTGGAAAACATCATAACTTACCCCAATACCCTGGCTGGAACAACTTCATAACTAACCCACAATACCATGGCTGGAACAACATCTTAACTTACCCACAATACCATGGCTGGAACAACTCATAACTTACCCACAATACCATGCCTGGAACAACTCACAACTTACCCACAATACCATGGCTGGAACAACTCATAACTTACCCACAATACCATGGTTGGAACAACTCATAACTTACCCAAAATACCATGGCTGGAACAACTCATAACTAACCCACAATACCCTGGCTGGAACAACTCATAACTAACCCACAATACCATGGCTGGGAAAAACTCATAAACTTTCCCCCAATACCATGGCTGGAACAACTCACCCAAATTACCCACAATACCATGGCTGGAACAACTCACAACTTACCCACAATACCATGGCTGGAACAACTCATAACTTACCCACAATACCATGGTTGGAACAACTCATAACTTACCCACAATACCATGGCTGGAACAACTCATAACTAACCCACAATACTATGGCTGGAACAACTCATAACTTACTCACAATACCATGGTTGGAACAACTCATAACTTACCCACAATACCATGGCTGGAACAACTCATAACTAACCCACAATACCATGGCTGGAACAATTCATAACTATCCCACAATACCATGGTTGGAACAACTCATAACTAACCCACAATACCACGGTTGGAACAACTCATAACTTACCCACAATACCATGGCTGGAACAACTCATAACTTACCCACAATACCATGGCTGGAACAACTCACAACTTACCCACAATATCATGGCTGGAACAACTCACAACTTACCCACAATACCATGGCTGGAACAACTCATAACTTACCCACAATACCATGGTTGGAACAACTCATAACTTACCCACAATACCATGGCTGGAACAACTCATAACTAACCCACAATACCATGGCTGGAACAACTCATAACTTACCCACAATACCATGGTTGGAACAACTCATAACTTACCCACAATACCATGGCTGGAACAACTCATAACTAACCCACAATACTATGGCTGGAACAACTCATAACTTACCCACAATACCATGGCTGGAACAACTCATAACTAACCCACAATACTATGGCTGGAACAACTCATAACTTACCCACAATACCATGGCTGGAACAACTCATAACTAACCCACAATACTATGGCTGGAACAACTCATAACTTACCCACAATACCATGGCTGGAACAACTCACAACTTACCCACAATACTATGGCGGAACAACTCATAAACTTACCACAATTACCATGGCTGGGAAACAACTCACAACTTACCACAATACATGGCTGGAACAACTCACAAACTTACCCACAATTCCATGGCGGATACACTCATAACTTACCCACAATACATGGTTGGAACAATCACAACTTACCCACCAATACCTGGCTGAACAATTGCGTAACTAAATATGAAATGGCTTTTCCCCAAAATTGTGGAATCATATTTATATTTTGTGTTGTAGGTCAGAGCGGCGCTGGTAACAACTGGGCTAAGGGTCACTATACTGAAGGCGCCGAGCTGGTAGACTCTGTAATTGACATTATCAGGAAGGAAAGTGAGAATTGCGACTGTTTACAAGGTTTCCAGTTGACCCACTCCCTGGGTGGTGGTACTGGGTCCGGTATGGGCACGCTGCTCATCTCCAAGATCAGGGAAGAGTACCCTGACCGTATCATGAATACTTTCTCTGTTATGCCCAGCCCGAAGGTGAGTGTATGTGTTAGTTACCATTTGGTCCTAGGCACATGTCGATTAGACACTAGGCCTGTTGTATGTGCATGCATGCATGTGTGTGTGTGTGTGTGTGTGTGTGTGTGTGTGTGTGTGTGTGTCTGTCTGTCTGTGTGTGTGTGTGTGTATGTGTGTATGTGTGTGTGTGTGTGTGTGTGTGTGTATGTGTGTGGTGTGTGTATGTGTATGCGTGGGTGTGTGTGTGTGTGTGTGTGTGTGTGGGTGCGTGTGTGTGTGTGTGTTGATGTGTGTGTGTGTGTGTGTGTGTGTGTGTGTGTGTGTGTGTATGTGTGTGTGTGTGTTACGAGACCTGGGGGTAGGGGTAAATTGAGGGTAGTGGGGGAGAGAGAGAGAGAGAGAGGTGGGGGGAATAGGAACAAAAGGAGCAATGCAGCAGTAGCCTACTGGCCCATTGTAGGCAGGTCCCTTCCCTCGTCATTCTTGCTGCCCCATCGGGATAATTACCTCTAGGGCGTTGACCTCCGGGTCTGCCATACCCAGAGGCAGGAGCCATAATACATTTTTAAGCAGAGGTACGACAAGGCTCTTGAAGCCGGGAGAGCGTAGAAGAAGCGGGGACCAGGAGCTGTGACTCGACTTGAGTAATGAGCTTTATGTGTACAGTTGAGATGCCTTAAAGTAAATGCCCTGACCAGCCAGGCTGTGGTTCACGGTGGGGATGGCGTCGGGCCAACAGTAACAACCTGGTCAACGACACAACATGCTTGTGACCCGGGTACTTGGCCAGTGTTCCCCTGGGCCAGGAACACACTGAGTACACTGAGGAGTCCTGAGTACACACTGAGCTAAGGATTGCGTGGCGCACCCCATGCAGTGAGGGTGAAGAAGCTGTAGCTGTTGTAGCCTCAGCTAAACCCTTCCACTACATCCATACCACTGTTCCCTCACTGTTTATGAGAGAGAGAAAGAAAGAGAGAGAGAGAGAGTGAGAGAGAGTAGGTAGGGTTCCCATTCTGGTGTATGGGGCCCCAACCAGGCTGCTCTCTCTCTCCCTCTCTCAGGGCTTAAAAATATACCAGACACAGGCATATCCCACAGGCCTCCCCAGTCCACCATGGTATGGGGGACTAGGGGAGAGGAGGAAAGATGGGAGGGGTGGAAAAGCCTGTGACGACCGTTTTATTTCACCATCTGTTTTATCACTGCACCATCTGTTTCATCCCTGCACCATCTGTTTCATCACTGCACCATCTGTCTCATCATTTCTTCATCTGTTCCATTATTGCACAGTGAAAAGTTGTGTCTCCCCAAGGCAGGGTACTCGTCCCACTTCTCTTCCTCATTCTTACATCTGACATAGACAGAGACATCAGTCATAGTACTGTGTCATCCTTTGATGACAACACTGGAAATTGTATGAGATGAGAGTGTCATCCATAGAAGACACAGCCAACCTCCAAGCTGACGTCTTCCAGTGGACCACTGATATAAACCAAGTCTTCCAGCGGACCACTGATATAAACCAAGTCTTCCAGTGGACCACTGATATAAACCAAGTCTTCCAGTGGACCACTGATATAAACCAAGTCTTCCAGTGGACCCCTGATATAAACCAAGTCTTCCAGTGGACCACTGATATAAACCAAGTCTTCCAGTGGACCACTGATATAAGTGTGTGTGTGTGTGTGTGTGTGTGTGTGTGTGTGTGTGTGTGTACTCACCTAATTGTGGTTGCAGGGGTCGAGACTCAGCTCCTGGCCCCGCCTCTTCACCGACCTCTACTAGGTCCTCTCTCCCCCTGCTCCATGAGCTTTATCATACCTCGTCTTAAAACTATGTATAGTTCCTGCCTCCACTACATCGCTTGCCAGACTATTCCACTTCCTAACTACTCTATGACTGAAGAAATACTTCCTAACATCCCTTTGACTCATCTGAGTCTTCAGCTTCCAATTGTGACCCTTGTTTCTGTGTCCCATCTCTGGAACATCCTGTCTCTGTCCACCTTGTCTATTCCACGCAGTATTTTGTATGTCGTTATCATGTCTCCCTTGACCCTCCTGTCCTCCAGTGTTGTCAGACCGATTTCCCTTAACCTTTCTTCATAGGACATTCCCTTAGTCTGGAACTAGCCTTGTTGCAAACCTTTGCACTTTCTCTAATTTTTGACGTTTTTGACCAGGTGTGGGTTCCAAATGGTGCTGCGTAACTCCAGTATGGGCCTGGACGTACACATTGTAAAAAGTCTTGAACGATTCCTTACTGAGGTACCGGAACGCTATTCTCAGGTTTCCCCAAGCCCCCATATGCCGCAGCAGTTATCGGTTAATGTGTGCGTTGGCGATTTTACTCGGTTTTTAAACTCACTCTTAGGTTTTTTCCCCTTGAGTGGGTTTGCAGCCTTTGGCCACCTAGCCTATATCTGTCTGCAGTCTTCTTTGCCCTCCTCCGATCTTCATGACTTTGCATTTGGCGGGGTTAAAATTCTAGGAGCAGTTTCTGGACCACACATCCACCCTGTCCAGGTCTTTTTTGTAGACCTGTTGGTCCACGTCTGATTTAATTTCCTCATTAACTTCACGTCATCTGCCAAACGGGCACTTCTGAGTCTACCCCTTCCGTATGTCGTTCACATATCCCAAGAGAATAGCACTGTCCCAGACTCCCTGTGGGACCCCGCTCGTCACTGGCCCCCACTGTGATACCTCATCATGGCCATGACTCGCTGTTGCCTCCCCGTTGGGTATTCTCTGATCCATTGCAGTGCCTTTCCTGTTATACGTGCCTGTTCCTCTAGCTTCTGTATAATCTCTTGTGAGGAACTGTGTCGAAGGCCTTCTTTGCAGTCCAAGAAAATGCAATCAACCCACCCCTCCCTTCATTTCTTACCCCTTTAGTTACCTTGTTCGTAAAACTTAGTAGGTTTTGGACACAGGTTTGCCTTCCCCTGAATCCATGCTGGCTGTCGTTTATATCTTGTTCCACTCCAGGTGTTTTCCCACTTTTCCCCCTGATAATCTTTTCCAAGACTTTGCATACTTTACATGTCGTGACACTGGTTATAATTTAGTGCTTCGTTTCTGTTCCCCTTTTTAAAGATGGGGACTACCCTTTGCCCTTTTTTCCATAAATTCGGTAGTTTCCCAGGTTTTTAAGGGGAAGTGTAGAAAATTTTGGTTAGTGGCACAGTTGTGTCCCCGCTCCCTCCTAAGGGCCCCTGGAGAGATGTCCCGGTTTCCCTTGCCTTTGGAAAGGGGTGAAGGTCACTTAGGAGCTTTCCAAACCCCCTTTCCCCAGTTGTTTTGGGAAAATTTAATTTAAAAATTGTTGGTTTATCCCCTTTTTGCTGGACCCCCCTTTTTTGTTTCCGTTGCCCTTCAGCCTCCACTGTAAATTTTCCTGAAATTTCATGTTGAGCTCCCTCACATACTTCCTGGTCGTTCGTACTCTTTGCATGCCACAGCTCCCCACCTTCTTTCCTCAGCTTGATTACCTGGTCCTTGACTGTTGTCTTCCTCCTGATGTGGCTGTAGAGTAGTTTCGGGTCAGACTTGACTTTTGATGCTATGTCATTTCATACTGCCGCTGCGCCTCCCTCCTTATCTGTGCATACTCGTTTCTGGCTCGTCGACTAATCTCTTTATTCTCCTGAGTCCTTTGCCTTCTGTACTTTTTCCATTCTTTAGAGCACTTAGTTTTTGCCTCCCTGCACCTTCGGGTAAACCAAGGGCTCGTTCTGTCCTTCCCATTATTTCTGTTACCCTTGGGAACAAACCTTTCCTCTGTCTCCTTGCATTTTGTTGTTACAAAGTCCATCATTTTGTTTACTGATTTTCCTACCAACTCCTGTTCCCACTGAACCTCCTGCAGGAAGGTCCTCATTCCTGTTTAGTCCCCCCTTTTATAGTTTAGCTTTTCCCTTTCTACTCCTGTTACCCTCTCCACTTTTAGCTCCACGATGTATTCAAAGCTTATAACTACGTGGTCACTAGTTTCAAGGGGCCTTTCATATGTGATATGCTCAATGTCTGAGCTACTTAGGGTGAACACGAGGTCCAGTCTTGCTGGTTCATCCTCCCCTCTCTCCCTGGTAGTATCCCTAACATGTTGGTGCATGAGATTTGCTAGCACCACATCCATCATCTTGGCTCTCCATGTTTCGGGACCCCCATGTGGCTCCAGGTTTTCCCAATCAATCTCCCTGTGATTGAAGTCACCCATGACCAGTAACTTCACTCTACTTGAGTGGGCCCTTCTTGCCACCTCAGCTAGAGTGTCCACCATTACTCTATTGCATTCATCATATTCCTCTCTTGGCCTCCTGCAGTTCTGTGGTGGGTTATACATAACTGCAATGACTACTATACTACATACTGCAATGACTAACAGTGTGTGTGTGTATGTGTGTGTGTGTGTGTGTGTGTGTGTGTGTGTGTGTGTGTGTGTGTGTGTGTGTGTGTGTGTGTGTGTGTATGTGTGTGTGTGTATGTGTGTGTGTATGTGTGTGTGTGTGTGTGTATGTGTGCGTGTGTGTGTGTGTGTTTGTGTGTGTGTGTGCGTGTGTGTGGTATGTGTGTGTGTGTGTGTATGTGTGTGTGTGTGTATGGTGTGTGCGTGTGTATGTGTGTGTGTATGTGTGTGTGTGTGTTGTTACCATTTTGTCCTAGGCACATGTCGATTAGACACTAGGCCTGTTGTATATGTATGTGTGTGTGTGTGTGTGTGTGTGTGTGTGTGTGTGTGTGTGTGTGTGTGTGTGTACTCACCTAATTGTAAAAACCCTTTAATTGTGGTTGAGGGGTCGAGACTCAGCTTCTGGCCCCGCCTCTTCACTGATCGCTACTAAGTCCTCTCTCTGCTTCCTGAGCTTTGTCATACCTCGTCTTAAAGCTATGTATGGTTCCTGCCTCCACTACATTACTTGCTACGCTATTCCACTTCCTGACGACTCTATGACTGAAGAAATACTTCCTAACATCCCTGTGACTCGTCTGAGTCTTCAGCTTCCAATTGTG